ATATAAGTGGTTATGACTATTGAGGTAGTTTTTCTAACCAAGTCAAAACCAGAGACAACTTGTATAGTTTATTTTATTTTATTTAACAATTAAAAAAATAAAAAGATAAAACAGATCAAGCTTATTTTTCTTCTTCTTTTTCACACCCATCTCGCTTCAACCTTTCGATCCAAGGTCATCTATGCCACAGTTCCTCTTTGCCACGTTTCTGGGTCCTCTTCCATGACCGCCAGTGAACGCAGTTGAGCTCAATCGCAAAACCGTCACTGTTCGTCTTCTCTTTGATTGTGAAATCAATTTAAACGATTTCTTCCTTCACGCAATGCTCCTCAATGCATATCATTTGTGTTGTGACAGTAGTTCGTGGTGGTTGTGATTTACGAAATCCGTCGTGGTGGCCGTGTTTCAGTTTCAAAATGAAGCTCAAACAAGAATGACCAAATCTCAAAAAAAAATACATTTTTTTTTTAAATCTGAATTTGAAACTCAATTTATAAATGATAAAGCTACGAACTTGAAGTGTAACCTACAATTAAAACGTAAAAGAATGAAAGATCATGTGAAAGAATAAATGGCGGCCACAATTATTGCAGAAAACCCTAAGAAATCTGAGGAAGACGAAGACATATTTACCAAAATGCAACTGATTAAAAATGAAAATAAACAAAAATATGTACACATCCATAGGTCGTACACATGGATAATAATGTGTATGTACACTATTATATTAGTAGTTTGTAAACGCATCTAAAGGTGTTTGCGTATTTAACATATATTTATAAAAGAAATTTACATGTACACATATATATATTTTTGACATCGACAAGGGCTAACATTTACATATTACACTTTATCCGATATTTCCATGTACACATATTTTGACAACGACAAGGGTTAACATGTACAATGTACATATTATATATGTACATGTGTACATTTTCACATGTGTACAAAAAGTATATATGTACATTTTCACATGCAAATGATTAGCATGTACACGTCATAAATTTGTTATATGCATTTACTAGTATCATTGTCCATATGTACACATGATAAATTTGTTACATACGTATTCGTTCAAATATCATTACTGTGTACACATATATTTTATTTAAAATATGTTATAAAAAATAAATAAAAGAATATGATTTCATGATGTTTTGAATGTCCATATGTACGTTATTTACACAAACTGTTTGTAGTTATAAATGTAGAAAAAAATTCGAGTATCCATGTAGAAACCTTATTTCATGTACACATTTTGCATTGTTTACATGAATACTATAAATTATTATCTAATTTTTAGTGGCCATTATTATGCACAATATGAATGTGCTTGTTGATACTTGTATTCTTGAGTGTACAAAAAGTACAATAATAAATTCATTGTGTAAATGTTTCTAGTAAACCCAAAAAATATGAGGAAGACGAAGACATATTTACTAAGATACACTAAAAACTTAGATACCAGTGATACTATTTTGTTTGATTGTGTAATGATCCGATTACAATCTCATTCTTTGATTTTGTTTGTTTAAGGTTTGATGTTCTTGGAAAACCTTGTTAGGGTGTACACAAGAAAGTGTGTACATGTGTACAACACGGACAAGTTTCGTGTACAAACCTTAGTTTTTTAACTTTTTCATAAGTTATGAAAAATTACGAAATATAGCCTTGTCTTCTTATTTGGCCACTGTCGACCATAAACCCTAATTTCTGCATCTCTCGCCCATTTTCATGATTCTTTACATGCTCCATTTGTTTTTGTTTTTGTTTTTGTTTTTGTTTTTATGTATTTTACCCATATATGGTAGATTTTAATTTTAACTCATGATTTACATTAAATGTTTGAACAAAAGTGATTTTTTTTTTCATTTTCAGATTTGTTGAAAGTTTGTTCTAAATCACCAAATGAGTCCAGACTTTTTGAACAAAAATTAAATACAAGATCTATTTGAACAAAAAAATTGAAGAACCGGATTTTCTTTTTCAACAAAAAAAACGTTAGGAGGAAGAAAACGAAGAAGAAAGTTAAATAGGAATCATTTTGCTAATGTTTTTGAAAAGTTAAGCTTGCGAAAAAAAAGATAAAGAGAGAAGACTTTGAGTCCTACTTGTTAGAATATAATCTTGTCAATAATGCAAAATTAATCTGGGCCGTTTGGATGTCATATAGATGTATGGCTGAGGTTGATTCCTGCTAAAACACTATCTTTAGTTACATGGCCTAACTGACTAAAACGTTTAGGAATAAGATACAGAGTTGAGAGAGTTATAAGAAACTATCTTGATAGCATAAACTGTCCTATCTTATTATATAAAGCTTGATTTCTCAAAGTTACTAATTAACACGATCGCGACACATGGTAAGTTATTAGCTAAGATAGTGACATGTTTAAAAAATAATTTTCCAAAAAAACATATTTTTCTTCTTTAAAATATTTCTACTCTCATAATGCTAATTTTACTTTATTAAAAAGTTTAAAACGAAAAAATAATCTTATCTTATTATAATTTTTAAAAAAAATATTATTATTAAAAATATATTTTTCCTCACAAAATATGTCTACTCTCATATGCTAATTTTACTTAATTAGAATCCTAATTAAAAAGTTTAAAAGGAAAAAAAGAATCTTATCTTATTATAAATTTTTTAAAAAATTATTATTAAAATTATTATTCAAATAAAACAATTTTTAAAAATTAAAAAGTACGAAAAAGAAAGAAGTTTATTATAAGAGAACGTTTTTATAATTTTTAGTAAAATAATACAATTTTTTCAAAATAATTTATTAAATAAGAAAAATTTATTATAATATTTTTTTTTTAAAAGTCATAGTAATTTTAATTTTAACAAAACCTATTCCAAAAATGAATTGTAATTATCCTTTTCATATTATAAAAGAAAAATGAAAATATTTTTTTATGCTAATTGTTCTTTATAATAAATAAAATTTTATTGTAAGACAATTATATTTTTCCTTTTTTAAAATATTTCTACGCTCATAATGTTAATTTTCCTTTATTCAAATGTAATTAAAAAGGCCAGAATGTCAATTTTACTTTATTCAAATGTAATTCAAAAGGTCAGAATGAAAAAAAAGATTAGATAGTAATTATCCTTTTAAAAAACTTAGACCAAAAAAATATTAAAGACTGATTAATGTTAATTAATCCAAGAGGAATTATGATTATTCACATCTATATATATAGAACTAAGATCTCTCATATTTGGTCACTTCTCATATTTTATCTCCAAGCATAATTATTGATTCAAGAAAAATATAAGGTGTAGTTCTATATTCTTTTCTTCTTATAAAGTTATGATTGATCGTTGTCATGATTATTATTTGATCGTTGTTATGCTTCTAAGTTCTGTCTTATTTTTTTTTTATCAATACTTATGAGTTCTGTCACATAGCAATACGTTGAAAGTTATTGCCACCACACCATAACATCGCTGTCACATAGCAATGCGTATTAATAACTATTATGATTTCTTATGTGTTTTTGTCCTACTATTATTTTCTAACTGAAATTATAATTTTATTTGTTACTAGAAATTAACAACAAGTAACGATGATTTCAGAAAGTTATTTAACACTAGATCAGTTAAATAAAAAATTTCTTTACTGTCGAACCATGGTACGTCTTATTAGAAAGTGGGAAGCAAAAAATTTAAACAAGAATAATGAGCTTATAGGAATGAATTTTCTCCTACTTGATGAGAAGGTAAATATTTTCATTTTAATATTTTAAAAATCTTATATAGTTTTATTATTAAAGATCATTTTAAATATATAAGAAATTACTATTCAAGGTTGTGTACAACATTCTCTAATTGAAAAGTTTGGAGATGAATAACATGAAGGAACCGTTATTGAAATCTGCAATTTTAATTTGCAAGATTGCAAAAACTAGAAAGTCTCATATCATGAATTTCAAATGAGATTGACTAAGAGAACATTAGTTGCATGTGTGGTTCAACAATTATGTCAGATACCGCGTAGAAAATTTTGATTTAGAAATTATGAAGATTTAGTTCAACTGCAAGATTCAACAAATGATTTATATGGTAATATTCATATTTATATATAGAATAAGATAATACGTTTCTGTAATTGTAGCAATTTGGTTGTTGAAATTGTATGTTTCTGACAGTTGATTGGATATATTTCTAACAGTTGATTAGGTATATAATAAGATAATATTTTCTTTAATTCATTTTTCTAGTTTCATAGTAGACACTAAAAATGATTTTTGTTAATAATTAATTATAAATATTAAGTAATTTTCATTTTTAAAATCTAAATCAAATTATATTTGCAAAATCAATATGATAATAATTTTCTTTTTAATATTTTCTTTCACTTAATTATAATGAAATAAATATAAAAAATAACTATTACTTAAAACAAAAACATTATTAACTATTTTAAAACACGAAGCGGAAAAATAAAAAATTATGTCAAAATAGATTCTTAATTCAAAAATAAGTCCAATAACATACACCTAAATTCTAAAATTGATGTAAAAAAAATTCATCATTTTTATGTTTTCATAAAATAAAAAAATCAAACAAATCCATGCACCGCACGGGTCCATACCTATTTATGTAATAAAAAACATAAAACTGTTCTATGAAGTAATTCTTTCAAACTATAATCATTAAACCCTAAGTTAGATATAAACCTTAAATCCAATTAAAAAAACCAAAATCCAATAAAATGGAACAAAATAAATAAATTAGTACATATTGGGTGAAATTATGAAATTACTATGATTGCATGGAAGAAGTTAAAACTGACCCCAACCATTCGTAAGCAAGCATGGTACCCAAAATCTACTCCACGTTGAGGGGGAAAATGCCCACAAGAGACACTAGCTAGCTATAGAGGTGTTGGAAGCCAACCAAAAAATGAAACTTAGCCGAAACAAAACTATAGTTGTAGCCATACAACTCGTATATGAATGTAGGAATATATATATATTCTGATAATTTAGTCATCGTGATCGATGTAAGAGCGGATGAGCATGGTGGCACAGCGGCGGAGTATATAGAGATGGGCACGATGCTGTTTCACCAGCGATGAACATTTGGTCGTGAATGTATTACTCTTTGTTTTGGAATTAGGGTTTTTCTTTGCCTGAAACTCAGCCATGGAAAATAATTTGATATTCTAGATATGAGGATATGAGGATATACGCGTCTGATCTCGGAGTTGGAGTTACATAGAGAGCTAGTGAATAATGATAAGGGCTAAAAAGGGTATCGTATGGACCAAGAACAGCTGATTTTTCTTGGATATGAAGGAACCTCTAGGGGACTGAATATGGTCTCGACAAAATCCATGGATTTGTCCGAGACGGAATATCTCGCGGTACGAGGACATGATTTATTTGCAAGTTGTAACATATATTTGTAATAATCACACACTATTAAAAGAGGTAAATAATCACCTCTCAACCTATCCACATCGACATTTTAATTCAGACCACTTATTAACTTGCCACGTCTGGTTAAATGCCACATCATTTACAAATCAAAACCAACCCGTATGCATTTTTTTAGTATTGTTTGCTTAACATAAAGTCCATTCTAAGCCCACATCTAGGGTGTCCCGTCTTTTCTGTGAGACCCTAACCTCACCGCACTATTCAAGTCGCCGGTGTAACGGCTCCGCCCACAATAATGATTCATCATATCGTATTCATTACTGTAGAAATTCAAGGTCACACTAGCTCTTCACATCCCTTATCTTTCTCCCTATTTTTTTCCTTGGTTTTTACTTCTTTTATGCTACCCCTGGTCCCCTTCACATCCCGTACATTGACCCGAAAACGTCAAAATATACGGCGATGGCTCTGGCCTATCTAATCTTCAACAATGTTGTCCTAGAGTTGGGGGGGGGGGAGGCGAAGTTGAACTTCAGTTGGCATCCTTAGACATACACTCATACCTTCCTTCGTTGATCATCTGTAAGTTTGGGCATACATTGTCATCTGTATACAAAGAGAAATATGTTATGATTCCAACTGATTTGGCTCCGTGTACTATCTGAATTGCATCACAGAATGTGGCGTTTATTCCTCTTTTAATTCCAGAGCCAACCCTATACCCCAATCTCAGATCTACTCCATAACGCACCTTCACCACCATCCAGAATCATGAAGGCTCTTAATTGCTAGAACCCCACCATGGTAGCGACCTATTGAGTCTTGAAAGTCCCAACCCTAAACCCTGTACCTACGATTCCCGTCTCCCAATTTACAAACTTTTAAGCAGGTTTGTTTTAGCTGATTCAATTGTACATAGTACACTGATCATTTTCTTCGCTCAAGCTAAGCCCAAGAAATATGAGACATGACCAAATAGGTGATGCATCCTCTACCCTGTTTGGAGTCGATTTGTGCAAGTAGTGGTTCTTATATTATTTTGTTTCTGTTAGCATTTGCGTATTTTTCTTTCCAAGAGCTTAGAAACAGATACTGTTGGCACTCGAATGATCAAGCTGTGACAGCATTATTTAAGTTTCACACTACTTATATGGCAGGTCATTACTGGGTATCAATTGTCTGGATCTGCCATTGTTCTGGTGGGTTAAGCTTTGTCAGTGAAATGGTGCAGGTAGCTTACATCAGCTTTAATTAGTTCATCAAAGTTCCTCTTCCGTTTTCTACATATTACCTTTCTAATGGAGTTCTCATGACTAACAGATTGCCTGGTTATATATATGGCTGATAAGGACTCGATTTATATTTTATTTTCTACCACAAGTTGAAACAGTGGCTCAGTTTGGTCTTATCCTTCTCATTTATGCTTTAGGGTCCGAATTTTTGTAGCAAAAGGTTTGCATACACGACTAAATCATTGATTTATTAGCTGTCGGGGCTGCAAATTCATGAAAATTATATAGTTCTT